CACGTCTCACTCCCCGTCTTTCTCCTCGCTTATTGTTCCTCACTTTCTACGATTGTCCAAGGAAGAAGTACAGAGGATCAGGGGGCGTAAGAAAAACACAGTGCATCAGAAGGCATAGGAAGATAAACAGGAGGATGGATATGATAAAGATGATGGTAGTCGTTATCACGTGGATATCACTGACGGCGACGATCCACCGATCATGGCGACTGCAATATATGCCAGCGGCATCAGCGCTCACGGCGACGACGACAACGATTGGAATGACGGCTCATGATGTCGATCGCGAGGGTGACTGTGATGGCGGGCGCGATGGCGATGGTGATGATGACGATGACGACGACGATGACGACGGTGATGATTATTATGGTGGCGCTGTCGATGATGTCGTCGATGATGATGACGAAGGTCCTGACGATGACGACGACGGCGACGACTACGACGATGACGAATCGGACGCACGGGCGGCCGTCCGCCGCGGCAGAAGCGAACTGCCGGCCGAGGCCGCGGCGAACGCCCAATATCCACACTGTGGCCTCTGCTGAGAGAAGGCATGCGCTGCAGAGCTCTTCTCAGCAGGGGCACCCGGGTGCCTCTGCAGAGAGGGCGCGGGTCTGCCTCCGGGATCGTCGTCTGGATATGATGAGACAAGCTCCATTTGGAGGGCGTCGTCTCAGCAAGCCCAGCCGACGATCTTAGGCGTTTGCCGCACCACGTCTGCTGAGAACGCGTAGGACGTGGCGAACGCCTAAGACCCAAGGGGCAGGAAACGCGATCCGAAGCGAAACGCTTTTGGTGTTGGCTGTATCTTCTGTTGAGATACCGATGCCGATCATGGCCCGGTACCGGTGCCGATGCCGGCGTCGGCACCGGCACCGGTATCGATATCGATACCAGTACTGTCAGGCGCAGCGCCTTTCTTAGCACCAACATCAACACAATCCTTGCGGGAATATGGAGGAACAAGGGGGAGCGGGGAGGGAGCATGAGGACGAGGAGGAGAGCCTGCAAGGAGGAGCAAGAGGGGTTGGGGGGGGATATGGAGGAGGCAGCAGCAGGAGGACCAGGACAAGGAGGAAGACGAGGCGGAGAAGCAGCACCAACAGACCGATTTATAGCCTCAGTCCAGCATCCCCAACAACAATTTTGAGGCAGGATGGCTCCAGATATTGCTGATTTGCCTGCGCCCTTGTCGCCATCACTGTCGTCGTCATTGCTGACATCGTCCTCATTGCCATACTTCTTGCCCTCTCCCCCTCCCGCGCACCCCTCCTGCTCTTTCTCCTCCCCCTCCTTCTCCCCCCCCGACTCATTCCATTCCTCATTATCTTCGTCGTTATTCCCCCTTCTCTTCTTCTCCTCATTATCGTCATCGTGCTCCTGCTGCTCTTCCCCTGGTTCTTCTCGCCCCTCGAGCTCCTGGTTCTCCTCTTCGCCCTCCACGTTCTCCTCTCGCTGGAAATGTCAACATGTACTAACTAAGGCATGGCGCCCCCCCGCCTGAGACTTCCTTCCGCATGGCTCAGAAATCATGCTCTCGCCTCGGCGCCGGCTAACTGTTCCCTCGGGGCAGGGGCGCCTGGACCCCTCCTGGGGCAAAATTTGGTATTAGCAGGGTAATGTAACAGGTAGCTTGGGCCTGGCCCCGTCTGACTCCTCTCCCCAACCCCTGGGGGCCCAGTTGTGAGGATGTCCCAGGCAAACTGACTGGACTACCTCGCGCGCTGAATCTCGGAGCGAATCCAGAGTTGCGAGGAGGTCTGAAGCGAAATTGGCCCGACCCCAGAGTTCCGAGGATGGATCAGGCGAATTTGGCCCGAGAACCTCGAACGCATCATATCTGAGCCCGGAGTTGCGGGGAGGCATCAAGCGAAATTGGCCAAACGACCTCAGGCGCAGCATGTCTGAGTCCAGAGTTGCGAAGACGTCTCAGGCGAAATTGGCCAGACCACCTCAAGTCAGGAGCATCTCGGAGCCCAGAATTGCGAGGATGTCTCAGGCGAACCGGACCAGACAACCTCGCGCGTCGCAACTTCGATCCTAGAGTTGTGAGGATGTCTCGGGCGATACGGGCCAGATCACCTCAGGCCACAACAATTCAATTCTGAGACTAGAGTTGCGAGGATGTCTCAGGCGAAATCGGCCAGACCACCTCGCGCGCGGCATCTCTGAGCCTGGAGTTACAAGGATGTATCAGGCGGAACGGGCTGGACCAGCTTAGGTCAGAGTAAATCTGAGCCCGCGCGCGACATCTTGCAGCCCAGAGACGTCGCATGCAAAATCCGCCGGACCACTTCGCACGCGGTCTCTCGGAGCCAAGAGTTGCGAGGACGTGTTAGGCGAGTTTGGCTGGACCACCTCGCGCCTGGCAACTCGGATCCCAGCATTGCGGGCATGCCCCGGGCGATCTGGGCCGGACCAACTCAGGTCAGGGCATATCTAGGCCAAGAGTTGCGAGGATGTCCAGGGCGAATCAGACCAACTCAGGTCAGAGCATTTCCGATCCCAGAGGTGCAAGGATGCCTCTGGCGAAAATGGGCCAGACCACCTCGCGAAAGGTATATATGAGCCGAGAGTTGTGAGGATGTCTCAAGCGAAATGGGCCGGACCACATCAAGCCAGGACATATATGAGCCCAGAGTTGCGAGGATCCTCAGGCGAGCCTGGCCGCACCTCTTCACGCGCGGCATCTAGGAGCCCAGAGTTGCGAAGATGTCTCACGCTAAATTGAGAAGACCACCTCGCGCGCGGCATCTCGCAGAGTTGGGAGGACATCTCAAGCGAGAATGTCTGAAGTAGAATTGTCCAGATCACCTCGCGCGCGGCATGTCTGAGCCTAGAGTCGTGAGGATGTCTAAGGCGAAGCGGGCTGGACCTCCTCAGGTTACGGTCATATCTGAGCCCAGAATTGCGAAGATGGCGAAACGGACCGGACCACTTCGCGCAAGGCATCTTGGATTCCAGAGTTGCGAGGACGTATCAGGCGAAATGGGCCAGGCCATCTTGCCCCCGGCAACTCGGAGCCCAGAGTTGCGACTATCTCTCAACGCAATGTAATGCAGTGCCATGGGAAGTGACGCAACAGAAATGCAATGCCATGCGTTGTAATGCAATGCCATGCAATGCAACGCAAAGGCACTCCATGCAATGGGATGAGACAGTGGCTTCCACTGCGTGGGATGCGGGATAGAGATGGAGAGGGAAAGGAGGAGCACGGAGGAGGAGGTGTAGTTGTTTTTCCAGAGCTCCCCATGCAACTTGGCATGAACCACTGTGCAACACCAGTAGCAGGAGGCAGGGCTGGCAACAGGATCAAGCAAACAAAGCGCATTTAGCAGGCCAGAAGCTCACTTAGCAGGAAGAGGACGTTTTCGGCGACGGCGGCGGCGACGACGACCGACGACGACGGCCGCCGAAGGCCGCCGAGGCAGAGGAGGAGGAGGAGGAAAAGGAGGAGAAGGAGGAGGCGGAGGAGAGGGAGGAGGAGGTGACAAGGAAGAGGGGGGGAGGAGGAGGAGGAGGAGGAGGAGAAGGAGGAATTGGTAGGACGTGACAAGAGGAAGGATGGGGAGGAGGACAGGAGGAGGAAGTGGAGGAGGAAGTGGAGGAGGAGGAGGACGAGGAGAAAAACAGGACCAGCAGCAGGAGGCAGAGCTGGCAACAGGATCAAACACATCGGGAGCCCACTTAGCAGAACAGAAGCCCACTTAGCAGGAACACGACTTGTAGTCACCCATACCATGTTTAAATCATTAAGATACTGGCTGTTGGAGTCGGTAAGCGATCGCCCCTCGCCACACTCATTCTTGACGGAGGCTTCCCTTGGAGAGGTTTGCGTCCCAGCCTCAACGCTCGCATTGCACTCCGTTGCCATCGCTTTTGCCATCGCGGCCAACATCGTGACTCACACGTGCCATTTCGCAAAGGCAAAGGGGGGGTCCAGAATATTAATGTCCCTCGTTGGGGGGTCCGGATAATTAAGTTGCAGCCTAAGGGGGGCGGGTCCGGTTTGTTAAGGGGGGGTCGTTGATCAACGGATTACGAATAATCCCTGGAACCGCAATCTTCTGTCCTGAGGAGTCCCAAGAAAGGGCCCAGACCCGAATCTCCGAAATTTCCGAGGGCTTGCCGCAGTTCCCCTCGGCTGCCCCGTGGCTTGTCACATGACTTGTTGGTGCCCAAGAGGGCAAGAGGGCCCCAAAACAAGCCAAGAGGGCCCCAAGAGGCCTCGAAAAACGGTCCAAGAGGGCCCCGAATCCCCAAACGATCACTCCAAGACGCTCAAGGTGGCCCCACGGCCCAAGAGGCCTCCAAAACGCCCTGAGAGGCTTCCGAAAGGCAGAAAGCAGTGATGTTCTGTAAGGTTTGCAGGTTTGTGGCTTTCTCGCACTTTCGGCTTCCCGACGCTCCAGGAGGCCCCCAAACCGCCACAAGACGGTCCAAGAGGCCTCCAAGAGGGCCGCAAAATGACCCAAAAGAGCCCGAAAACGACCCAAGAGGGCCCGAAGACGGCAGAGACACGAACCAAAAATCCGAGCATTCTGCCCCAAGAACTCTGTGCATGGCCGAACCTTCGCCTCCGCTTATAACCCCCCTACATTGAGATCCGACGTGGCAAAGAACACAACATCGTGCGACATCGTGAACAAAAACACGAAAACGCCAAGCTCGAAAACACTGCAACGTCAGGATTTCAGGGCCCTCTTAGCACTCCAGCCGCCTATCATGCGGCCCGGCCCGGGAGGGGGCTGCACCGCGGCAGGGGAGCGCGGGCCGGCGGCGCCCGCCGCCGCTGCGCCTGCGGGGCGCGGCGCATAACCCCGTTGAGGGCAAAATGCACGCGGGCGTTCCTCCTCCTGCGCCCCTGCTGCTCCTCCTCCTCCTCCTCCTCCTCCTCCTCCTCCTCTTCCTCCTCCTCCTCCTCCTCCCCCTGCTAGCCCTTCTCGGCTCGAGGAGCCTTCGGTGCGCGCACGTGAGGAGGGCGCAGCGCATCGGAGCCTATGGCATGGCGGCGGTCCAGCGCGCAGGAGCCTCGCTGGTCCAGCACGGACGCGGCGGCGAAGGCGCCGTGGCGGGTAAGGCGGCCCGCCACACACCCCCTTCGCTTGCGCAGCGTGGTGGCGGAGGCCGTCAGCGCGGCGGTCTCGGCGGCAGTCGGCGCGGTGCTCGAGGACCGGGCGAAGGTGGCCGATGCGCCGAAGGTGCCGGTGCCCAGTCAGGCTTGGTCAGTGGCCAGGCCCAAGCCGAGCTCGGCGCCTTTGATGGCTCTCTGCGACGTGCCGCCCGGCCCACCGCCTGGGCAGTGGGAGCGTTCGCCGTCCCCGCTGAGGACGATGACGGCAGCGGCGGCTCCGCAGAGCTCTGGGGGCTTGCGGGCGGTGCTCACCGAGGTTCCAAGGCACCGTTCTCCCAGCGTGCAGTGGGCGAGCAGCTCGCTGTCTCGCAAGGCCAGGAAGGTGAAGAAGGAGAAGAAGAAGGAGAAGAAGGACAAGAAGGAGAAGCGCAGCAAGGTGGGCAGCTCCCGCTCGAGGAGTCGGCTGAGGAGGCTGCGCTCGACGCCGAGGGAACTGCGGGAGCCTCCCTTGGAGTGGCGGGGTGCAGCGCCAACCGCGGGGTGGCAGCCGGCTGTGGCGTGAGTGAGGCGGACATCTACCTGGTGAAGGACAGCAACTTCGAGGTCAACCGCATCAAGGCCGTGTCTGTGGAGCACAAGTGCGCGATGCGGGAGGTCGAGGAGGTTCAGGAGGAGGTGAAGCAGAATGACAAGCAGGAGCTGGAGCAGCCGCTCGCGGTGGAGGCGACGGAGCTCAGCTACGGCATCAAGGCTAGCTCAGGCCGCACGGAGTGGCACGACATGGTCGACAGCGGCGAGGAGGAGGAGGAGCCTCCCGAAGCTGGCGGCTACGAGGAGATGATGGAAAACCTGGACTTAGTGGGCCTGCTGCCGCCCGTCCGGAGCTTCCCAGTGCTCGTCTATGAATGCGGCAACTTCGAGAAGAAGCTGGAGCCCATCCCGTGCTTTCCCGTGCTGGACGTCTGGGAGCGGATCTACAAGGAGAACTTGGATGCGTTCGTCAAGGCCGAGAAGGCGGAGGTTGAGCGGAGACTTGCGACGGATTCCGTCGTTGGGGTCCTCGTGGGAAAGGGGCGTCACTTGCAGGAGGAGGAGATGAGCGGCTTCCTGCAGCAGAATGTGATTGCCAAGATCGACGACATGGAGAAGGCTCCGGAGACTGACGTGGAGAAGGACCATGGGCCGAACACCATGGATGACCAGAAGGAGAAGTTCTTAGCGCTTGTAGAGCTTGGCCTGGAGCTGATGCAGAATGGCGCTAGGGACGACAAGATCAAATGGAAGAACGAGGCCATCTCTTTCCTCGATTGCGGCTAGGCGGAGCAGGAGGACTCCTTCCTGGCACCCTGGGGGGGGTATGGTCTGCATCCCCGTGCTGTCGGGGCCCCGTCGGGGGCCCCGAATGCGCGGTCTCAGTTTTGCGCTTTTCTGGCCTCCGCTCGGGCCCCATTGGGGGCCCACGGCGGGGTGCCTTCGGCCCGTCGGGGCGTCTTGGGCCTCTGCGGAGGCCGCTGGCCCGTGCGCTCTCTCCATCCTGGGCAGGCTGTATTCCCCCCCAGGGCGGGCGCGCGGGCCGCCCAGCGCGGCAGCGCCCTCAGACAGGGCGGCGTCATCAGTGTCCCTCAGTGTCCCTCCTCCCCCTGCTCCTCCTCATGTTATTCCTCTTCCTTTTCCTCTTGCTGTGCCGCCTCCTCATCCTCCTCCTCCTCCTCCCCCTCCTCCTCCTCCTCATCATCATCATCATTATCATACTCATCCTCTTTTCCATCATCAACATCATCAACATCACCATCATCAACACCATCATACCCCGCATCATCAACATCATCACCATTACCATCACCATCACCACCATCATCATAACCCTCCGCGTCATCATCATTATAATCACCATCGCCAGCATCATCATCATCATCATCATCAGCAGCAGCAGCAACAACCAAACAAACATCACCACCACCATCCTCGCCGTGACCCTCATCATTTTCATCATCATCATAATCGTGCTCCAAAAACATATTTTCCCCGGAAGCCAGTGCCGGAATGCATTCGAATGCAAATTCAATAATTCCGTGTGCGACACTGGGGCAACGGGCAGAGACGGTTCAATAGCCGAATTACACTCTGACGTGGGGACTCCACGGCCACGGCGAAGCATTGCAGCGAGAGACAGGGCGGGGGGTGGGAGCTCGAGGTCCGAAGGCTACGGAATGCCAGCGTTCCGCCTCGCCCGCCCCGTCTGCAAGGAAAGACCATGCCCCAAAAATGGTTTCTCCGAGGCCAGTGTCGGAATGTATTCGAGTGCCAAAGGCAGCGCCGCGTACGACACTGGGGCCACGTGCAAAGGCGATCCAATTGCCGAGTTACACTCTGACGGGGGGGCCTGCGGCCAAAACATCCCGAAACTTCCACAGGGCTTCTCTCTTGGCAGCGGCCGAGCCACATGGACGTCATGGACAGGGCATTGGACTGCACAGGGGCTTTGACAAGCGTTCGCGCCCATCTCGAGGCGAGGAGCTTTGGGCCAGGCTGTGCCACAAGACTCCACAGAAGCCTTCCTGGAGCCCCACCCGGTTAAATCTGATGAGGCTCGCCAGCCCCGACAAGTGCGAGAGCCAGCGCGCAGGCGAGCGAACGCTTCAACATCCACGCGGAACCCCAGGAGACCAATGGGTTTCTTCCAGGGGGGCCCGTCTTGGCAGAAATGAGTGACAGCCCAAAAGACACGCGCCTGCCTGCGAAGACGCTGGAGGGAGGGGATGAGCCACGGCCTGGACATAGCGGGGTTCTCAATCGCGAAAGGGATTTGCGCGCGCCTACAGCTAGACCAGAGACCTTCACACATTCTCACGAGCCTGTTTGCCAGATCGATCTGAGCTCTGTCCACGGGGCGCGTGCCCCAAATCTCGTCATCAGAACTCAGCTTGCTGGGCCAGGAGCCGCTCTCGCCTGGCGCGTGGAGCGGGCCGGCATCTTTTGATCCTGGCCCACGTCTGGCACTGCGCGCCGAAATGCAAGCCCCGCAGGAGACCGGCGTCAAACCAGCCCCGCAGCAGCCGCGCCACCCTGGGGATCGTCAGATCCCAGTCGGGCCCCCAGGCGATGTCCCTCTCGAATGGCGAGGAGGCCCTCCTTGCGCAGGGTGGCCGCCAGCGCGCCCGCGCCCAAGAACGCCTCTACGAAGACGGGCGGCGCCGCCAGGAAGCGCTTCCGGCGCTGCCCCAGCAGCTTCCTCGACGCCGGCTGAGGAGCGAGGCCGGCCGATCGGGGGCCAGCAGGGCCGCGCACTGCACGGCAGGCGCCAGCCCCTGCAACTGCTCGCTGACGCGCTCGGACCTCAGGTGCCATGCGACCGACGCGCCGGTTCTCCACGGGGCGCGCGGCGCGACGCTGGCCAGGTGCCCGCAGTTTCACGGCCGGCGCCGCCGACGGCCCCGAGAGCCTGAGCTGGTGCAGCTGCGGCGCCAGCGTCGCGACGCCGACGCCCTCCGTCGCCTGCCTGAATAGGGTGCTGGCCTCCACGAGGGCGCAGGGGAACAGCGGCGCACTCGGACCGGTGAGTCGATGCCTTCAGCCAGCGGAACGCTGCCTGCAAGAAGGCGTCGAACGGCGCGTCGAAGAGAATCGCCTCGTCGTCGGAGGCCCACGTCTTGCCAGGTACTGCCAACTCGCGGGGGTGGAGCACCAGCGACAAGCCGTCGCGCGCCCCTCTGGGCGTCGGGGGGATCGCGTGACCCCGGCGCCCTGCGGGCCTCGGACGGCCGCGGGTAGCCCCTGACGGTCACCAGCACGTAAAGCGTGGTCCGCAGCTGGCCGACGTCGACCAGTCTCGTCGCGACCAGGGCCACGATCCCTCGCGGCAGCGGGAGCCCGGCACGAACGGGCACCCGCCTCCGACAGCCCCGCAGGGCCTGCAGCGCCCGAGGCAGCCCACGGCCCCCGCGCGATAACTGCGGCATCATGAACTTCAGCGCCGCCAGCACGTAGACGCCCCGCTCGCGGGATCCCAGCCCTAGGCGCGCTGTCGATCCATCCACTGCGCCAGCATGTCTTCTGCCGTCTCGGCCCTCAGCGGCGCGGTCGCCGTCGCCAGCCAGGCCGAGAACACGTCCACTGAGTCCTCGTGGTCCCGGTCACTGAGAAAGTCCCTGGCACTCGGCCTGCCGAGGCCGGGCTGCCGCCTCGGGCGCCCGCGCCGCTGCCCCCCCAGACCGCCCGGCCGCCGTCGCTGCCGCCTTCGCCGCCTGGCCGCGCCCGGCCATTCGGCGGCCCAGGGTCGGCGACCTGGCCCGCCCCTAAGCCGCGCGGCTCGCGGCGCGCCTCCGAGGCGGAGGCTGCCTCGCCTCTGCCGGCGGCGGCGCCGCCAGCGGGGCAGGGCACCTGCGCGGCGGCCAAACCGGCGACTGCATCCCACTGGGGTCGAGCGCCGATCCGAAGGACTCGGCGCGACGACAGGCTGGCAGGATTCGCCTCCGAGGGGGTCCAGAGCAGCGCCGCGCTGATGCCGCCCGCCACAACGCGGACGGCCCACTGGCGGCAGACGCGGGCAATCCTCGGCCGCGAGGAGCGGCTTTTCGAGAGAGCCATGACGGCCACGAGACCGTCCGAGTGGAGAAGCACACGACGGTCACGTTGCTTCGAATCTCGGAGAGCGCGGACGAGAGCCCCCCCCTCAAACGCCGCGCTGCGCCCCCCCCCGGGGAGATGACAACCCGCTCGCCCGAGACGTGCCCAACCTCCGGAGGCTCAAAGGCAGTGGGCCGCCGTAGTCTGCGAGGCTCCCGAGGCGACTCGATGTCGAGGGGCCCCGCGACAATAGGATGCTCGTGCTTCCGAGGTTCGACGGGCGAGCTGCTGATGCCCGCGTCGCCGATGGGTTTCGGAATGTCCGACGAGCATGGGGCGACCTTGAGATTCGAGGGCGGCTCGAAGCCGATGGGGCCCTCGAAAGGCTCCGCGGGCGCGATGAACTGCTCCACTGGGCCCTAGCAGTAGGGCCGCGGAAGCGCCAGCGCTCGTGGACCACCCCGAGCTTCTGAACGACGTTTTGGGTAAAATCTCGCGCGCGCACCCCTCGGCCCTACTCGGGGGCGCCCGCCCAGAGGGTAGATGTCGCAAGAAAGTTGCATCATGGCGCATGCAGCAATAATGATTCGCCGTTGCATGCCGATTGGCTTGCTAGACTTTAGTTGCGCCGCTACAACTTTCAGCTGCGTTGGTTAAGTTTGGTTGTGGCCATGCGCCGCGCTACCATTCGCGATGATACAGGGCTATTCGCGCAACTGCACTTGCTCATTCGCTACTATGGCTTCGCACCGCTACCATGGCGTTTGTTCGTGAGCGTGGTTGTCATTTGCAGGAGTTCCATGTGTTTTGATGTGTGATATGTTGGTTACAATGCACAAATGCAGCAAACATGTTACAATGCTAGTTACAATGTTCGTCTCACTGTTATTCAGAATGGTCGCAACAATGTTAGTCGCATATATATATGCTATATGTGCGTTACAAAACTAGGATTAGGGCCTACGGGCCAGCGCCAGCTCGGGCCGACCAATATTGAACCAAAATAGCTACGACAGGAGGATCAACGTCCGCGATGGTGAAGCGGAGGGGGACGTCCCGTTCGAAGCGGCACACAGGATCGAGAAACGCAATCGTGGCAGCACTCGAGGGGTCTGCTCATGGAGGGGCGGAGACGGGCCCGCAGGGGCCCCGTTCATTTCCCCTTCTTTTCTGCAACATGCAATAATGCACGGCAGCATGATGCCGCTCACCCGCCAACGCCGCGTTCTGCAGCGTCAGGGTCGATTCAAATACTTTGGAAATGGTAGAATGAGGATCTTATATATATACACGTCTATATATAGGACGCCCGCATTTTTCATCCGCATGGGCGTGGCGCGCCGTGCACAATGGCGCCCAGGCCTTGCAGCCTGCACTCTCTGCGCCGTCGAAGCGTGCGCGAGGCGAGCGAGCCCCAGTCAAAATTTTAGTATCGAGAGGTGAGAGGGAAAACCATGCACATTTCAATGCTATATATATATATAGACACGCCTGTATGTACATATGCATATGCGCGTGCAAGACACGCCCTTTCAATCGAGAGCGCGGCCGCCTGTCGTCGCAAATCGTGTCAGCCTGAGCTCCACAACGAATGCTGCGCCCTTCTCGCCGCAGCGAGAGCTCGAGAGAGAAACGCACGCGCGCGCCGTTTCCATCGATCTGCGCCGCCTCGGCGCGCCCCACGGCGCACGGATGCGCCGGATTTCTCGGCGCGAACGGTCGCGCGCGATCGTTCGGAAAGGAGGGGGGGG